GAAGACAATGTGACGGTTCCTCAAGGATCTAGAACCAGAAATACCATTTGGCCCACCAATCCCATTACTGGGTATATACACAAAGGATTATAAATCATGCTGCTATAAAGACACATGCACACCTATGTTTATTGCAGCACTATTCACAATAGCAAAGACTTGGAACCCACCCCAAAGCCCATCAATGATAGACTGGATAAAGAAAATGTGGCACATATACATTATGGAATACTATGCAGCCATAAAAAAATGATAGTTCATGTCCTTTCCCAGGATATGGATGAAGCTGGAAACCATCATTCTCAGCAAACTAACAGAGGAACACAAAACCAAACACCGCATGTTCTCACTCATAGGTGGGAGTTGAACAATGAGAACACATGGACACAGGGATGGGAACATCACACACCAGGGCCTGTTGGAGGGTGGGCAGGCTAGTGGGGGATAGCATTAGGAGAAATAATGTAGATAATGGGTTGATGGGTGCAGCAAACCTCCATGGCATGTGTATACTTATGTAACAAACCTGCACATTCTGCACATGTATCCCAGAACTTAAAATATAATAAAATAAATAAAAATAAATACAAATAAAAAAAAAACTAAGCTTCCACTTATTGCTCTAAAATGCAATTTAATAAATATGACTCTTCCTAGAATAGAGGAATTTATTATGATAAAGCGATTTCATCACAAAAATTTTGTTGAATTAATATTTAATGATTAATTTATATAATATAAACATGCTGAAATGGTAGTGTTTAAGACAATACTTTAAGAATAAATTTTACATAGAAGAGAGGATATTGTTTGATATTTAAATTTTAGACATTCATTTGATTTTGAAGTTGAGTCAGTATTTTATGTTTTCAAATAGCAGTAACATTTTAAAGTGATTACTGTTGATGGGGTTTGATTTAATGCCATCTACTGTTAATGTATAGAAATGCTATGAAACTCTGTGATTATTTTAGTGTTAATATTTTTGCAGGTGGAGCAATATTAAATGGTGAAGGAACAGCCACAAATACTGAGGAATTTTGGGCAAATAAAGGTGAATATTAATTTTAATTTGCTATTGATTAATGTAATTTGGTGTTTTTTTAATGAGAGAAAATCTTAGAGGCAAACAGTAGTTATATTGAAATTTCAAGCCTGAATTACAATGGTATTTGATCTAATAGTCACAATCTCCATAGATACTATATTTATATAACATTTTATGCAGTTTTGTGTATCTGAAATGAATAAAATCAAGTTATTCAATTTGACTCTTGGTTTTGTTGCTTGCTTTTTGGTTAATTTGAGATATTTTGTCACTTGGGATAACATTATTTGACTTGATTTATTGAGTTTGGTGTTTGAGATATTGCTAAGTAACATTTTGTGGTTTGTGTTTTTTATTACATTTAAAATATCTTTTTTATTTTACTTGTATTATGCAATTTTCTTGAATTATTTGTGATCAAATAGCATTATAAGATGATCCAACCTTTTATTTCTAAAACATTTATGACTTTATCATACTAGGCTTAATAGTGACAAACTAGATGTTATAAAATATCATGTAAAAAAACCTTTTATTTCTAGACCTCTGCTCCGAATGTCCTGAAAATATGTCAATATAGTTATTTTTCTTACTCCTAGGTTTAACATCCATTAAAAAGGACATGACTGACATAAGTCATGATTATGAAGATCTTGGCCTCTTACTCAAGGACAAAATAGCAGAACTGAACACTAAACTCTCCAAATTGCAAAAGGCTCAGGAAGAATCAAGTGCAATGATGCAGTGGTTACAGAAAATGAACAAAACTGCAACAAAATGGCATCAGACACCTGCACCTACAGATACTGAAGCTGTGAAGACTCAAGTTGAGCAGAATAAGGTATATTCTATGGGTGCACCTATGGAAGACATGAAAGAGAATGGATTAGCAGTTGGAACGGAGCTCTGGTAGTCAGAAGCTCTGTTCTGTTTTCTAGCTCTATAAACTTTAGCACATAATTTGACAGTTTTGTTTAATGTGCCTTTCTGTAGAGATTGACAATAGTTACTTTTTAAAAAATTTTGGGCACAGCCACATTATAGATTAGCAAACTGTTTGGTGTAAGCCACTTTGCCACCTTTAAATCAGTGTAAGCCTGGGATGTTAACCAGTCAGCTATTAGAAAAGATTTATTTAAGGGCTAATGTATGAGAGATCTATTCTCTGTCGTATAAAAATAGGGTGCTAATGCCTTCCTTTTATTTAATAGATACTATTTCTTTCTACAGCTGCCAAGGTTGGGAAAATGGCTTTATATAATGGTGGCAATGATGGCAAAATTTCTACAAATTAACAACCTATATTTGAATTCTATAATGTGTTGCCCAAAAAAAGTGCTTATTCACGTGTAGATTCTCCACTTCTGGCAGCCTTTATTAAGACTGATTTTCTTACTTATTAAAATTTACTGATGTCATCTTTCTTTATTCCAGAGTGGCTTGTTTGAAAATATGAAATTCTTTCTCACTAATGGGGACAAGAGTCATTATCTCCATAGTCCTAGTGTTCCTCTGTGGGGGTTCCTTTATCACACAGTTGAACACGAGCTAAGAAGAGGAAAGGAAAATAATTAATTGCAAAATCCAGGCCCTCACCCACCACAGCATTTAACAGTAGATTTCTTCCTCTTTTGGTCATTCTAGAGAAAAAAAATCCTCTGTCATTATTGTATTTTTGTCTTTTGCTGTTTGCATAGTTTATTATTATTTTTCCTTTGTTAGTCATTTGAGGCAGAACTGAAGCAGAATGTAAACAAAGTACAGGAGTTGAAAGACAAGTTGACAGAGCTGTTGGAGGAGAACCCAGATACTCCTGAGGCCCCCAGATGGAAACAGATGTTGACAGAAATAGGTATGTTGCGTTACTTAGATGAACGCCTGTGAAGAAAAGTGCAATCATTTTTCATGTTAATCATAATCTTTATCAGAAAACATTCAACAGAGTCACTTATTTTTGGATTTGCTTTAATGTTTCAGAATCTATTTTTTGCATAAAGTGTCATTTCAAATTATATTGTGCAGAAAATTGGCATATCTTATGTGTTTTACGGTAAACACAGTAATTACATTTATTTTTATGAAGAATGTAGATACTAGTTAATGAAGTGCTGTGCATTGAGTACCTGTTTTCATTAATGTTTCTTTACTTTTTACTAGCTTTTGGTGCTTTATTATGCTTTATATATTTCCAAGCTGTATTATATTTTAAATATTTCTTTCATTCATCTGGAAAAGGTGTGCTCCCTTCTCCTTCATGCAGTTACTTCTGGGACCCCTCCTGCTCCGTGCTTTTTGCTCTTCTGCTCTTCCCCAATCAATTTTTTATCCAAAATTATCCTCCTACCCACATTCTGTCCTTGTATAAACAGAGGAGCATACACTGCTCCTCAGAGGTACAGAATTTTCTTTATAAGCCCTATTGTCTTACCAATTTTTATTACTATAATGATGTAGAAAATGAGTGTAAAGGGGGTAGAGAAAAAAAGAAAATGAGTATAAGAGAACGGTAATAATTTTCCCCACTTCGTAGTTTCATTTGGAGAACCCAATAAGTTAAGTTGAATATGCCTCAAACAAATAGTACCTGGCACATATTAAGTGCTATGTAAGTACATACTATGATTATAATAATTATTTTACTTTCAATTGTTCCATTACTAAATATTGTCCTTCCTTTAGAGTCAGGTGTGCTATGATAAATGTAGAAATCTCTAAGTATATTTTAGTTTGAAAAAAGTTACCCTAAGGGATCTTCATGTTCAGAGATATATTTAATCCAACTTTAGAGATTCCTATCAAATTGTAATTAATTTGCCCCTAATTCAGTGGCTGTCTTCTAGGATCTCAGAATTACTTGGGGAGAGTATTAGCAAACCCAAGTAATATCATGTAAAAAAAACTATTTTAGAATAGGAATGGGAATGAGGAATATGTAGTTCAGAAAACCTTCTTGATGAGCTTTTATATTTTTCCTTCCTGATTTATTGTTTTAATGGCATTATTTTGTTGTGAGATTGTGTTTGACCAGAAAATGTCATATGGAATGATGTTATTAGATAAGGTTTCAGTGATTGTGTTCTATTAAAGTCATTCCTTTAGTGTGTTATGCTAAATGAAAACTCTCTCAAATCAACTGATCACACCATCAGTGAATATTTATTGAGTGACTATGTTGAAGTGCTGGAAGAAGTGCTCTGATTAGTAACCCTTGACTACAGGGAGCATACTGTCTTGAGGATGGAGAGAACAGAAAAGGCTTCCTAGCAGAGGGTAAATCCAATGGAATGTAAAGGAAGGATAGGGTTGGGATGTATGGGGAGGAGGTATAGAATCTCAGGCATAGGACCTGTGTGAGCAGAAGCCTGTTTGGATTACAAGGGTGAAATCATCAGGGCTAGATTAGAGGATCATCTCAGAGTACAAACCTTCAGAGATTGTGGGAGGCCTCAAATGTCAGGCAAAGGTCTTCAGATTTTATTGTCTAGGTAACGAGGAGTTAGTTGTTGAAGGGTTTGAGCAGGGAAGTGACAGTTTTAAAAGTGACACTTTTTAGGGAAATTGTATTAGAAACAAGTGGCTTGCAGTTGAGAAACACTAATAGCAGGGATACTAGTTAGAAGACTGCTAGACTAGGTCATTAGTTCTCCAATGTGCTCCTGGGATCAGCAGCAACAGCATCACCTGGGAATTTTTTAGAAATGCAGAATTTCAGATACTACTCCAGACCTACTGAATCAAAAACTCAAGGCAGAGCCCGGAAATCTGTGTTAAAGATGCCTCCAGGTGATTCTTAATGCAGCTCAAGTGTGTGAACTGCTGGTCTAGGAAAACATGATGCTGTTAGCTCATCACCTGGATGAATTGTGTTAAATTATCACATGCACTCTAAAAATACATTTCTATTATATATCAATTTAAAAAATACAAATAATTAAAAAAAAATATGATGAAGGCCAAAATGGAGTTATGGCATTGAGAATGTAAAGGAGGGCTTTAAGGTTTTATGATCAAGGATATAATAGAGTTAGGAAGCTCATAAAAGCATTTTCTGAATTATTGCATCTTTATGACATGGGAGAAGAGATAACCTTTGAAAGAAATCTAAAAGTCATAAAAGTCCACCAGTTTTGAGAGGAATATAATGAGTTTTATTTTTTAATGTTGAGTTTAATTGGTGAGACTTCCTACTGGAACTTTCCAGCAGCTGGTTGTTGGTGTGTAATTTGAATGGGAAAGAATAATGGGATAGATATACAAATTTGGGAGCAATTTGCCTAGAATGAATAAGTGAAGATTTTATATTAAAAGGATTATTGTTCATTGTTTTAGTAAGTCATAGTTTAATAAACACACTCTATAGGACTTATAGAAGGAACAAGAGATCTTAGAATCCTGTCTGCTTTAATGAATATTCCATATTCTACAATATCTTCTAAAATCATATTCACAATTTTTTTCCCTATACTTCAGTTAACATACAACCATCAGACCTATAAAATCTTAGGTTAGTCCTTTAAGTAACTATGTAACAAGAGTCATAAAAATGGGATTATAGCCATTATATATCATTTTGAATCATATCATACAGTCCTCATAGACATAGTCATGTTAAATGCAAAAAAAAAATCAAACACCAGTTTCATTTTTTTTCTTTTAGATTCTAAGTGGCAAGAACTCAATCAATTAACAATTGATAGACAACAAAAACTGGAAGAATCCTCCAATAATCTAACCCAGTTCCAGACTGTAGAGGCCCAGTTGAAACAGTGGCTTGTGGAAAAAGAACTTATGGTCAGTGTTCTTGGGCCCTTGTCAATTGACCCAAATATGCTAAACACGCAAAGGCAGCAGGTGCAGGTGAGTATTACCTAATAACCTGTCTCTCGTGCACAGCAATTTGTGTTACTGAGACCAATGTTTTCATTATAAATATATTAACTTTGGTCAGTAGGTGTTTTATTTAACTGCTTTGAAGTATATGTGTAATGTTTCAGATGCCCATAAGATACTGTCCTGATATTAGTGGGAATCCCCCAGAGAACTAAAGCTATGAGGCGTCTTAGAGGCCTCCTTGAAGCCCATGAATGGGCCAAGTCTCCTGATTATTTCAGTCATATTGTGGGTGGTACGGATCCTGTTAAAAAGGCCTTCTTTGAAGTATTAATGCAATTAAGTAATATCTTTATGAGAGGCTAGTATATACTTTTTACTGTTTAGAAATTACTCCTTTGAGGTTTTATTTATTTTGATTATGGTAGTAGATAATGAAACTTGTAAAACTCATCCAGTTGAGTTCTGATGGGGGACAGAGAGAACAAGAAGAGGACAAAGAATAAGGGAAGCAGAGAGGGAACCCTGAAACACAGGGTCTTAGTTAGATGAGTCTAGTTTCAAAGCAGATAAATCCACAAGGGAAAAAAATCCAAAAAAAGAGTTTTATTTTTTAATGTTTAATGTTTTTATAGTCAGGTGTAATAGCAGAAGCTCAGTGGTGGTTTCAGTTAGTTTTTTTAATGTATGAGTACTGGCTTTAGAGCAGGGAGGCTGTTTTATAAGCTGAAAATTCAAATAAGTTTTGGTAAAAGTCAGATGTTTGAGTTCATATCTGTTCATAATCCAAAGACAATAAAAACAAAAGATAAAAGTAAATATCTGGGGAGAAATAATTGCCTCTACTCTTGGTAGTCTCCCAGAGATAGACAGATAAATAAAATATAGATAAAAGTATAAAAGATAGATAAAATATGATACTAAAAGAATGAGATTTTTTGGATCATTCATTTTATGAGTCAGGTTGAGTCTGTACATTCTGAGCAGCATGATTTGTTGGCTAAAACCTTTATAATGAAGACTGTAAACATCAATAAATTTTATGTTACAAAAACCTTTGTAAATCAGTGCATCATGAGTTAATATATTCTAACACCTTTGTCACTGTGTGTTTTCTTTAATATAAAATTCCATAGGGTATTCCAAAAATCCTACAAAGACAAAAACATGAATGGGTAAAAACAAATTTGGTGTAAGTGCAGTGTGAACTTGTCTAACAGCAGTGTTTCTCTTTTCATATGAAAATTCACACATGAATTTTTGTTCATTTTGTCCGGGTTTTTCCTTTAAGGGGATAGGATTAGTCTAGACAGGATATCTCCGTGAAGCACGATAGTTTTTTGGATTGAAGATAATTGTACTGCCCTTTAAGTAAAAAGTAGGAAAGTAATAACTAAAAAACAGAAACTAGAGAAATAATTACCATTTCTGTCTGTGTGGACACCAAATCTGTGTTTTCTACAATCAATTATATGATAACTTTTGTTTATTTACCCTTGTTACCTTAGATTCTGCTGCAAGAATTTGCCACTCGGAAACCTCAATATGAACAGCTCACAGCAGCTGGTCAGGGCATTCTGAGCAGACCTGGAGAAGACCCTTCTTTACATGGGATTGTGAAAGAGCAACTGGCAGCTGTGACCCAAAAATGGGATAGCCTAACAGGGCAATTGAGTGACAGATGTGACTGGATTGACCAAGCCATTGTTAAAAGTACACAGTATCAAAGCCTGCTGAGAAGCCTTTCTGATAAACTGAGTGACTTGGATAATAAACTCAGCAGCAGTCTGGCTGTGAGCACGCACCCTGACGCTATGAACCAACAGTTGGAAACAGCCCAAAAAATGAAGCAGGAAATACAGCAGGAAAAGAAGCAGATAAAAGTGGCCCAGGCACTCTGTGAGGATTTGTCAGCACTGGTTAAAGAAGAGTACTTGAAAGCAGAACTTAGTAGGCAGCTAGAAGGCATCTTAAAATCATTTAAGGATATTGAACAGAAAGCAGGTTTGTCTACTTTTAATACATGTATTTCCTGGTCAGAAATAGATGTCATATATTGCTTATTTCCAAGATGTTGCCAATAATCCAGGACCCCAAAGAGACTCTGCCCCACTGTTAACATCAGTGAAGAGGAGGATGAATATAGGAGCTCAGAGAGCAGTTTTGTATTCCTAGGCATATATAATGTTAGGGTCATTCTACACATATAATCTGTTGGCAAAATTGACTTCCTGAAGGCCTATTAAAATTTCAGGTACCCCAAACTGGTTTTTAAAAGATGTAAATGTTTTTTGCTGTATGACAGTCTTATTTTGCCAGAAGAAAAACATGAATAGTTAGTAAAAGGCTTGGCATCATCTTCTCATCTGCTGTTACTTTATCTATGCGGTCATAGAAAACTTTTCTAGAGAAATGTGTCAAAGAGAGGCATTTGTCACTATTTTCCTCTCTCACTGTGGCTATAATTCTGTGGCAGATGTGTTGATATTTGTCAGAGGTAGCAGTGAGTTATCAGAATTCAGAAAGCCCTGATGAAGAAAGGCACATTTTGTTGTTAAGTTTGTTCTGTTTGAAAAGTTTCTAGTTTTTTGCACCTAGTAAATACTCAAGTTTTGCTTTTTAATTGATTGGATTTACTGATCACAGCAACTGTTTCAGACTTATTCCTTTGTTTGACATGATATTAACAATAGTAAATATCAGCTATTATCATTATTATTCTTAATGGTATGAACACTTTTATGTGATAGGTATTAAACTAAGAACTTTACATGTACTATAATCTATACAGCACCTACCATTAATATTGTCAATTCACAGTGGTAGAAATTAGGCTTAGAGGTTTAATCATTTGCCTGGGCTCTTCCAACTCTGAAGAGGTTAAACCAAGATACAAACTCATGTAGTTTTTATGTGCTACATTATGTTGCCTCCATAATATGTAAAAGTCATAGACATGGCCAGGCACAGTGGCTCATGCCTGTAATCCCAGCACTTTGGGAGGCCGAGGCGGGTGGATCACAAGGTCAGGAGATCGAGACCATCCCGGCTAACACAGTGAAAACCCATCTCTACTAACAATACAAAAAGTTAGCCAGGCGTGGTGGCAGGCGCCTGTAGTCCCAGCTACTGGGGAGGCTGAGGCAGGAGAATGGCGTGAACCCGGGAGGCGGAGCTTGCAGTGAGCCGAGATCGCGCCACTACACACCAGCCTGGGCGACAGAGTGAGACTCTGCCTCAAAAAAAAAAAAAAAAAGTCATAGATGTGAAAAAGTCATATTTGATAACAGATGGATTATTTATCAACATAATTGAGAACTTGGCCGTCATCACTTCTCCATACTAGAATAGAGAAGATACCAGCACAGCAGATGATGTGTGGCACGGCCACTCCCTGCACCTTGACACATTTTTACTTATTTCCTTATTCTTTGTTTTCCCCTCTTATCTGTCTCCTGCATCTTTTCTTGATTGTGTATTTTCTTGTGCCTACCTCTTACCTCTTTTCCCCTTTGTCAATATCTTAAGTTCACTTAAGGTTTTATGATCAAGGATATAATAGAGTTAGGAAGCTCATAAAAGCATTTTCTGAATTATTGCATCTTTATGACATGGGAGAAGAGATAACCTTTGAAAGAAATCTAAAAGTCAATGCTAAAAGCCCTTGCTTTTCAACAATTCTATATATTCAGAGATTTTTATTTTGGCTTTTCATAGATTAAATTAACATTTTGATATAAAATAAACATATCTTGTAATTTTATTTCTAGAGAGTCATGTCCAGCACCTTCAGTCAGCCTGTGCAAGCTCTCATCAATTTCAGCAAATGTCTAGAGATTTTCAGGCTTGGCTAGATACAAAGAAAGAAGAGCAAAACAAGTCTCATCCAATATCCGCCAAACTCAATGTCTTGGAGTCGTTAATTAAAGATCATAAAGACTTTAGTAAAACTTTGACTGCTCAGTCTCATATTTATGAAAAAACCATTGCAGAAGGTGAAAATCTGTTATTAAAAACACAAGGGTCTGAGAAGGCAGCCTTACAGTTACAGCTTAATACAATTAAAACCAGTTGGGATACATTTAATAAGCAGGTGAAAGAAAGAGAAAACAAGTTAAAAGATTCATTGGAAAAAGCCCTTAAGTATAAAGAGCAAGTAGAGACTCTCCGGCCGTGGATAGACAAATGCCAAAACAACCTGGAGGAAATAAAATTTTTCTTGGATCCTGCTGAAGGAGAGAATTCTATTGCCAAGTTAAAGTCTCTGCAGAAGGAAATGGACCAACACTTTGGTATGGTAGAATTACTGAACAATACAGCCAATAGCTTGCTCAGTGTCTGTGAGATAGATAAAGAAGTTGTTACAGATGAGAATAAGTCACTGATCCAGAAGGTGGACATGGTCACTGAACAACTTCACAGTAAGAAATTCTCTCTAGAGAACATGGCTCAGAAGTTTAAAGAATTTCAAGAAGTTTCCAAAGAATCTAAAAGGCAGCTTCACTGTGCAAAGGAGCAACTAGATATCCATGATTCCCTGGGACCCCAGGCTTACAGTAACAAATACCTGACCATGTTGCAGACTCAGCAGAAATCACTTCAGGCCTTGAAGCATCAGGTAGATTTGGCTAAAAGACTTGCACAGGACCTTGTGGTAGAGGCCTCAGACTCAAAGGGAACCTCTGATGTTTTATTACAAGCGGAAACCATAGCTCAAGAGCATAGTGCACTAAGTCAGCAGGTTGATGAAAAGTGTTCTTTCTTAGAAACCAAGCTTCAGGGCATTGGGCATTTCCAGAATACCATTCGAGAAATGTTTTCTCAGTTTGCAGAGTTTGATGATGAACTGGATAGCATGGCTCCAGTGGGGAGAGATGCAGAAACATTGCAAAAGCAAAAGGAAACTATAAAAGCCTTTCTAAAGAAACTAGAAGCCCTCATAGCAAGCAACGACAATGCCAATAAAACCTGCAAGATGATGTTAGCCACAGAAGAAACCTCTCCTGACCTTGTTGGAATCAAAAGGGACTTGGAGGCCTTAAGCAAACAATGCAACAAGTTACTGGACCGAGCCCAAGCCAGAGAAGAGCAGGTTGAAGGGACAATTAAGCGTCTTGAAGAATTTTACAGCAAATTGAAAGAATTCTCTATTCTGCTCCAGAAAGCCGAAGAACATGAAGAGTCACAAGGTCCTGTTGGCATGGAAACGGAGACAATTAATCAGCAGCTTGAGGTGTTCAAGGTAGGGAACTGTCCATTTTTATGAAGTGTTTTTATTGTCAATGAAGTTTCTAATTTGTACAGAAAGGAGATTGCCTATTTCGTAGAACCTTCTAATAATGATTGTCATACAATATTTGAGCCGGAATGAGCATATATGGAAGTAACACCCAGACAGGTAGGGCAGTTACAAGGCTACTGGTGATTTGGGCCTTTGTGGAATAAGGCCTGAGATAAAATCAGATCAAAGGGTGCTTGGCAAAGTTCCAGGCACACCAGGAACTGACATCATAGGGTCCATTTCTGAAGTCATTCACAATTGCCATCCGTGGTGACTGGGGCTGTGGTTTGAACTCTATTGCAGATGTTTATCTCCCAGCATTTTCTTCAGTGGTAAATTACCGTCTTTTCTGCCCTTTCTTTTTATAACTGTCTTCTCATCCTTCTTAATTTAATTTCTTCCACAGACATTTTTCTTCTAAAAGCTCATATTTTTAAAGGCAATATGGAGTTCCATGTTGTAATCTGTTTCATTACACAAAGATCTTAGGCTCATGCCCCAAAGGATTAGAGGTGAATTTTTTTTTTTATTGCATGATATAAGCTCCTCAGTGCCAAGAAATAACTGCCACTCAACAGTGATCGGTGACACTTAATGAATGAAACATTTGATAAATATGGGGGGCCAGTTTCCATGACATTGGATTTGGCCTTATTTATGATAGTGAGAACAGAAGTCACATCTGTATAGGGGACAAAGATAGGTTCATCCCTGGAAACAAAGGGTCCTAAATAGCAAGCGATTTTCTATATGGGGCTGATATAAACCTTTAAGGTTTCACAGCTCCTGTTATATTTATGAGATGTGTTTTACTGGCAAAGATATATTGCACCATTAGTGCATAAAGAATAAACTAAGACCAAATAACAGTTTATAAAACCATAAATTATTTTCTTTGAGAAATGGGTATGAATCAAATGGACTTCCAAATTCTATGCAGTTATATTTGACATACTCTTTCATTTGCTTGTCTTCGATAACATTATTTAGATGACTGAGTCTTGAAAAATACCTTCTTTTTCTTTGTATTGTTGTTACTATTATGATTATTTGCAGTTTATTAAACGCCTTTGAAGCCCAGTTCCTTCAGGGCTCACAAATCGGTGATTCTGTATTTAGTTCTTGATTCTTGAAGGTGAAAGAAACATTCTTATTGTTGACCTCCTTCATTGCTCTGTCAAAATTTTATATTTCTGATTTGCAAAATGAAGATTTCATATGAGAGAATCCTCTATTAGAAAAGCATAGTTCTGTGGCAATTGCTTCATCAAAGACTGGGAGAGATCTTGGGAGCAACTCTTCCTTTGTCAGTAAGTTTGGAATTCTCTATAGAACCCTGTCAGCACCTTAAAGATTAAATGACAGTAATCAAGCAGTGTTTATACTAATGAAATTTAACCACATTAAGTGGTTAAATTGTGAAACATTTCATTCGGCTTCCTGTGCATTTGTTTAGAAAAAAAAGACCTTCATTTCTCTTTGCTGCTTCTAACTACTTGTAAGACAGTGAACAAAAGTGATAGTACTGGTGCTGCTACTTGTGGGTGCCTCCCCTTTGGTCTTCCCAAGTACAGTGAAAACTGTGGCTCTTCATGTGGAGAATTGAAAGTAAGAAAAAGCAAGAGATAGGAGGAGCTTTCTCACCATTGCACTGAAAGTGTTTTGCAAACTGAAAACCCCAAACATTACCATTAATAGCTACAGTGATTGTCTTATTTGATTGTGAAGAAATATAGAGTGATAATTTCTCCTAAAATAAACCATGTAGCATGCTGTGTTTGTTTGCTTTCAGATTATTTGGAAAGAGTTGATTGATTTTATTGAAATTCAGCAATAAAGAACATCATGGCATACTTTCAGTATCTTGAAACCCAGTGACTTTAAAAAAAAAGTTTTCAAGTAGACCAATACTCTGCATTTAGTATATTCCAGTGCCATAGGTTAAAAAGGACAAGAATATGATTATGGTAGCTCACACAACCACTAATTCTGTTTATCTGTGTATGTGTGTGTGTATTCTTTAAAAATAGTAATTATAATAATCAATAAATCAATTTATTATAGGCTTACTATGTGTCAAGCCCTACTTTAATTTGTCTTTAATCCTGTTAACAGTCATGAGAGGTAGATGCTGTTACTATTCTCCATCTTATTATAAAGAAGCCTAGGCCCAAGGAGGTTAAGTGACTTGTCCAAGGTCACACAGATGGTGTCAGAACCTGATTCTTTTGATGAAAATGATGCAATGCTTTGTGTAAACTTTATTTGTCACCCATATTTCACATCTAGTATTTTCTCTGGGGAATTTTCTTATCATCTTTGCTGTAGCCTAATTTAGACAGCCTGAATAGCCAGCCATTGTTCATTTTAATCCAAAATACCAAGAACACCCACTTAAGGAACATGTTCTGTAAAACTAGCTGCTATGAGAAATGTGAGATAAACATGTAAAACAGTCTTAGAAACTGATGTTATGTAGGTGCTATGGTATGATAAGGGTGATGATGATAATGATGATGTTGATGGTAGTGGTTCCAGTGATCACCACTACTGCTGCTACTGAGATGGAGCCAAACATTTCATTGTTTTAGTGATTCTTTCTTGGTTAAAGTAGTAAATTGACTTGTTTACAGTTCAGTACTTAATTTAGTTTCTGTTGGGCCTTAGACTTTTGTTAAACATTAGTTTTAACATAATTTTTAGAAAGTTTTTAAAATTTTTTAAATGGAATGATTTGTATTGAGTGAAAAGCTAGTTATAATTCCTAAAAGTAAAACGGAAAAGAAGTGAAGGACTGAGTCTGTCCTCCTTATTGACTTTGAAATACAATCTAGTTTGACATTAATCTATCTGGTAGCTTTAGTTTAACCTAACGTCACAGATAAAATCCTATAATAGTTTTTCTTAGTGCAAAATAAACTGCCTTCTGAGCAGAACAGAGAATAAAAGCTATTACCCAGTCACTCAGCAGGGGGTGCCTCATATTCACTGGGCCCATAATAGAGGATTTAAAGCAGGTTTGATAGACTTCCCCGATTCTGTTTTTCTTTCTATAGTTTAAGAAATAGCTGTTAATAGTTACTTGAGGTTTTCTTATAAAGACAGGGACAAAATTCATTCATTCATGTTTAAGATATCAACCCAAACATAATACTTAAAGCAAATGCTATTCTAAACCAAATGTCCGAACTCACTCAGTGAAAACTATTCTGAGATTCTGAAAATAGATTGGTGTTATCTTTTATGTTAGTTAGCTTGACATTTTAAAACTATTTTGATTATATATAAGTTCTGTTGTTCATAAGTTTTTCTACTTCTAAGTACTAGTCATTGGACTAACATGTCTGAAGGGTGAGGTGTTTTCTACACTGTTGGTAAGTTAGAGTACCATTTTCCACTTACACTTCTCTATGACAGTTAAATTCTATGCACACTGTTATAAATTGCTGGAATGAATAGCTGAGCGATTCTGTTTGTCTCCAGGCAAGAAGAAAGAAACCCCTTTGGTGTTCCCTCTATCCCTACCTCCTATCCGAAGACTCCTAGCTCAAGATTATCTTCAAATCTAAACCACATTATTAAGTAACATTAATATTTCCACATTATTATTTATCAAAGACATATGTAACTGACTGTATACAAGGAATGCATCCCAGTAATTCCTATTATGTGATGAACAGCCAATCAGGTCTTCTGATCATTATGAAGTAACCATTATCACCATATTGAATGATTTAATTTCAATGAAAATCAAAGAAACTTGATGCTTTAATGAGTCCTAGCTAAATCTGTACCCTCCCCACCTCTATCTAGGCCAAGCTTGTCCAACCCATGGCCCACGGCCCACCTGTGGCCCAGGATGGTTTTGAATGTGGCCCAACACAAATTCATAGACTTTCTTAAATAACATTATGAGATTTTTTTTTGCCATTTTTTAAGGTCATCAGCTGTCATTACTGTTAGTGTATTTTATGGGTGGCCTAAAACAACTCTTCTTCTTCCAGTGTGGCCCAGAGAAGCCAAAAGATTGGATACCCCTGATCTAGACCATTGTGAAAAATGCCTTACCTCAGAACCTGCTTACAGTTTATTTCTGGCCACTGTGTTGCTGTCCCAATTGTAATTCATTTTGTCGCCACAAATGAATACATCTCCAGTACAAGTCTCTCTGAATACGTCTTTTTATTTTCAAATGGACATAGAAGTACATGGAGCAGAGGATTTTTAAGTGAAGTTGAAACCAGAGACAAAGAACAGAACATATGCCTAATTATACTGTAATGAATTTTGTTTGGTCCAGGTGAAGGCATTGTTTAACCCAGATATCATTATTTTAATATTCGGTAAACTAAAATGCCAAGTAGCATGGGGCTAAGGAAGACAGGCAGTTTAAGCACAAATTCTTATTATGGTGTTTATCAAGTGATCCAAAAACAACCTCTGATGTCACCTTATTGAAAATCAAACTGTCCAAAAAATGCTTTAATAGTACTTTTAAAGTGTTCGTATTGTTATATAGAGGTCACTGACAAATTATTCTCCATTTTTATTAAGAGTGGGGAAATTAGATAAAGCTTTTGCAGAAGAGGTTTTTGTTAGGGAAAATTCCTTAATAGATTGGATTTTTGTTAATGAAGCTACATTAGCAAAGAGGTTGCCTGTTACCTTCCTCTGGTATTTTTAATGGTGAAAATATTTCTACTATAGACACTGTAACTTGATGCATGACTTTTATAGGAAGGTCACATTATTTAATAAACCTAATGTGTTTATTGTTAAAACCAGCAAAGTGGCATTTAACAATTTTAGGAAGAAAGAATACTGCATATACTGGTCAAGAGAGAAGTCTTACTGAGGCAGAGACCACACCTAGCTATGAAGAGGTGGAGCTGATCTGCTCTGTGGTATTATAACACCTCATATTCTTATCCACACAAACTAGGCATAACAGGTGGATGCCT